CTCCCCTTCGGCGCTCGGCCCCTCTACCGGTGGCCTGGGAGCTCGACCGCAGACCCCTCAAGCTCCCAGGCCTCTGGTAGAGGACCCGAGTTCAGAGGATGAAAGAGAGAGAGAGAGAGAGAGAGAGACAGAGAGAGAGAGAGAGAGAGGGAGAGACCACCCGCGGTGGGTGAGAAGGGATTTTCTTTTATATTAAATATTGTTTTAAACTTCCAATGTTTCAAAATGAGCTTCATGTAGCACCAAGGATTAAATATAATTTCTTAATGTAGTAAAGTTAATTATTTCATGCTCCTGCTAATTGATGTGTATTACTGGACTGGACAGCACCTATTGGTCTCTATGTGATTCATTGTGTCCAGAAAACCATTTTAACCCAATGCAGGACAAGGAGAAATCTGTCACGAAAATATTAGTAGCACCATCATTTGTTATTAGATATATCTATTAAATACGACTCAAAATAAAGACTAGAAAACTGATGTTTGATAAATTCTCCATGATACAAATCTATAAACAGTTTAGATTTATTAACAGTTTAGTTTCTGTTAGTTCTGTCAAGATGCGAGAAGGGGCGAATTTTTATTTATATTGGTCAATCGTTTTATTTTAAATATGCTGTAGGAGCCGTAGTTTGACGATTGTTATAAATATCATCAAGCTTTGCGAACACAGGGGATTAGCTCAGTTTTTGTTGCTTGTTTTTAGGAATTGCAGCGGCTGCAGGGCGCCACAATAAAGGTACAATAAAGCTGATAAACAGGTGAAGAACCAAACTAGCTAGAACCACTTCTGACTGACTGACAAGCCAAACATCCAATAAAAGTTCCACCAAGCCACTACTGAGGCACTGGGGTCAAGTTTCTCGACATGGGCAAAAGAAGGTTCAATGTCCAAACTTATTGATTGTTCTTGGTGATTTATTTTCCTCTTTCACCAAACAATTACAGAGTTCAAACTTTCATTTGTTCTCATGCTACCACGCTTGCTCTGGTAAAAACCATCGGCCCCAAACCCAAATGCCTGCTGGTCCTTCACCAGGCCCCTGCACTTATAGAAAGTGGACTGACCCACATTACTTCCTGTCTAAATTTAGAAAATAAATAAGAAAAATAATAAAACAAAAATAAATAAAATCAACAATTATCAACCTACAAATAAACTCGGTAAATAATACAATACAAAAAATAGAAATTTAAGAATAAAGTAACAAAATTCAAATGGATAAAGAAATAAAGACAAAAATAGCCCCAACAACTTCTATTCCGCCTTTTCTCGCTCTATATGTCGGTATTACACGACCCGTTGCCATGGCAACCGACAAACAACAGGTCAAAGAGCAGATAGAGCAGAGATTACTGATCAGGGGAATCAACACCCAAAAGCAAACATTTCCCACACAAAAAAGTAGCAAAAACACTAAAACATTACATCCAGTCTGTTACATTATGTTGTCAGGCTTGATGTCTATATTGTGATTATTAATAAGTTTTTGCCTGACTTAAACAGCTGCTCTACTGATGACTTGGGTTGTTTAGTGCTAACGGAACCAAAACACACCGAACTGCGCAGCACATGTTAATGTTATCAAAGTTAATACCAGGCCAGCAACAGTTAGGCTAGTATAACTGACCCACTGCTCACTTGTTCAATGTTTTCTTTAAATTAAAACTTTTCCCTCACCTGTGAAATCTGAAGCCCTTATTACCATTATGTATGGTTGACTTAACTGCTAAACATTGCGTCCGTTGTTCTGATTCTTTGCGTGATTGTAGTATTTTTCTGACCACCGATATTCCTGACTGAATGGACAGAAACGGTGTGACTTACGATAAATCGCGTAATGTCCAGTCCAGTAATATATATATCCATCAATGCTGCTGGCGCTCTGTCCTCCTCTCGTACTTCCCGCAACTTAGCAGTGGGTGTCAGGTTACATTGTGTTGCATTTAATGTTGTCGGAAAAAAGAGTTTTATGCGCCTAATGTCCGATTTGCCATAACTATTTATTGAATTCATTGTCACTAGCTGGGGTTGCAACAGGGGTGGCAAGGCTCTCGTTTGGGGTGGCAACTGCCACCCCAGTAGATCCGCCCCTGTTTTTACTGAAACGCAAATAGGTTTACTCAGTTGCAAGATTCTGTGTTATAGGTTGTTATTCTGTAATTCTCTATGGAAAAGTATCCACATTTGAAGCAAGTTGATAGTTTCTATATGAAACTGTTGGCACATAATGTAAATATTATATTTGACCTGTTTTATCACTAAATTGTACATATGGAATATATTTTCCTCAGCAGCATTAGATTGAATGGGCTTTCCTAATTTCTGTGCATGACAAAAAAAAATTATTTACCTTTTCAAAGTTTATAGGTCCTGAAATGATTCGTTCTCAACCATTTATCCTTCTCATCAGGTCTGCAGCTGGTGCACACTGTTTGCATGCTACACCACGTACAGGCTGACCGACGACATCTGACTCTGCAGTGATAAGCTGATTTTTAACAGCAGGAAGAAAGCATCCTTTAAAATCATAACAAGATGCATCAGTTTTCAAAAACATAACTTTAACTAAACTCATTTCGGTGCCAACAAATTTCTTCTCAGTGCTCTTTCAATGTACATTTAACCTTTAAGCACATTTTACCATTTTACATTAAATCCAACAGTTTAAGTCACGCATGTTATGAGACACTCAGTGCTTCTCTGCATCTCTAACTTCAATAAATTTTAGAGAAGCAAAGCTGCAGTCATAGAAACATTTCACATTAACAGAAACAGATGCGTGCAAAAGGGACCAGTATGGGCATGCTGGGTGCAGGATGCACTGCATTGCTCTCTTCTGCTAACACTTCTTCAGCCATGTTGGTTCTTTGTTTGGGCTGTGACTCTAAAATAAGTGGTAACAGAGACTGATGGGTCCCTTCCTGTTGGCTCACCAGATCTCACCAGAAAGGATGGCACTGTTTCAACAAACTGAACTTAATTAAATTCATGTAAAACTCACTGAGAATAACTCTTAAGATTAAAACGTATTTTTTCTCTTCCTCCCTCTCAGTCCTTTGCACAGTGAAAAGAGATGTGGTCAGATGAAGTGTGTTCTGTCAAACAGAGAGGAAGTGAAGGGAGAAATGCTTCACAAAAATGCACTTCCAGCTTCTGTGAAATAAAATAAAATAAGCATCTGTCACATCTTAGCTACTTTGAGGCTTTATACCTCGACATCCAATAAATCTTTTATATGATAATCAATAGCATTTCCTAAATATGTTTACACTCAGTTTATGTTTGTTAATGAGGTTATGTCTCTTTCAGATTTAAAGTACAGAAATATCACATCTCAGATGACATTAATATTTATGTAATATTCTGGTTATCAAAAGCAAAACAAGGCTTTTCTCTTTTCTATGACAAAAACTGAATGTCACAATAAACCTAATTTGTAAGAAACAATAAATAATGACATCTGGATAAAACAAGGCAACAATTTAGTTCAAGATGAGTTGGGCAGCATTTTAAAATGAAAGTGAAGCTCAAGCTACCCAAAGAAGCAAAACCAAGAGCTGAACACTGATAGCAATGCATTTGCTTTTCCTTGCATTAAAACGGCTTTAACATTAAACACATCAACTAATTTGTACATCAATCAAGATAACCAACAGATGACAAACTTAAAACGATAAACAATGTTGTTCAAGCCAATAATCTAATAAATGGATAATTTACCTTTTGTTTGGCTAAATTTGTTCAGCCAGATAAATACTTTCCAGAGCGCCGACATCTAACTGGCCAGCTGAAAAGGAAACGGCTGTTTTGCAAGCTTCAAATTAAGCATTTTTTCTGCAGCACTTAGAAGAGCTGGTTAGAGAAACGTCACTAAATTAAAGCTTTGGAAAGGATGTTAGCAGTTAATGCAATGGCGTGTGTGTGTGTGTATGTGTGCGTGCGAGCGAGCGTGCATGTGTGTGTGTGTGTGAATGTATGTGTGTGTGTGTAGCAGTTTCTGAGGTTCATTCCTGTCTCCACAACCCCCAGATCTTTATTTCAGGTGAAATCAGACTCTGGTTCTGAAATACAGAGATTATTTGCTATGTATAAAAATGTATAATCTTTAATGACGCAGTGTGAAATACAAACTCATTTTGGAACAGAAACTCAGTGAATCAGTCACTGGGCTCCACTCAGCAGATCTTCAGGATGACACAGAGTTAAAGAATAGTTCTGCTTTTGTCTATGCCTCACTCTGCACACGCTAAGGGGTGTCGGCCTGTTATCAGTTTACCAATAACTATGTGTGACAGGAACTGGTCTTATGTGTTGGTTAGGATTGTGTAAGAGTGCAGCAGTATGTGTGTAAGCAGATAAAATCGATAGAGAAAGGACATAAAATCATACATCCATTACAATCCACCTGGTGAGGTGGACTAAAACCACCCCACCCTCATCAGTGTGGTGCACATGGATCCTAAGCTAAAATATGGCAAACAGTTCTTTCTGGTTCTTTCTAGTTCTGCCTCTCCTGCAGAACTTCATGTCTCCAGTAACGGCCCACGTCCCTCATTCTGAAACTAGATCTGTGTTTCACATAAAACATGCCAAAGCTAGTATAGCCCTAAGTTTGAAGTGATTGAACATAGTAAAAATATGGCCAGTAAGAATAGGAACTATAAAAGCATGTCCAATCTCCATGGCAACCATTCAGATGTGCAAGACACATGGTTTACTGAGCACTGCCTTTAAATCACAGCTCCCCACAGATCATCCCTTCACCACGACTCCCACATCCAGCTCCTTCACAGTGATGGGAAGTAACAAAGTACAAGTACTTCGTTACTGTACTTAAGTACAGT